GGGGGAAATGTAAGTGTGTGTGTGTGTGTGTGTGTGTGTGTGTGTGTGTGTGTGTGTGTGTGTGTACATTCATCTGTCAGGGGGTCCACCTCAGGTGTTGTCTTTCCTTCAGGTGCCATCATCTTGGGGTTTTTTTTTTTGACACAGGGCTTTTTTTTTTTTTTGGAGACAGGGTCTCTCTATGTAACCCTCGTTGTCCTGGAACTCATACTCTGTAGACTAGGCTGGCCTTTAACTCACAGAAATTTACCTATTATTGCCTCCAAGGTGCTGGAATTAAAGGCATGCACCACCACCCCAGTTGACACAGCATATGCCACTGTAACTGGATTTTTTTTTTTTTTTTTGGTTTTTCGAGACAGGGTTTCTCTGTGTAGCTTTGGATCCTATCCTGGCACTCGCTCTGGAGACCAGGCTGGCCTCGAACTCACAGAGATCCACCTGCCTCTGCCTCCCGAGTACTGGGATTAAAGGCGTGAGCCACCAACGCCCGGCCTGTACCTGGATTTTTATGTGGGTGTTTTGGATTGAGTTTGGGTCCTCATGCTTGCATAGCAAGCCTTTTATTGACTGAGCTATCTCTCTAGCCCCTGACCTTGGACATTTTACACACTTTGTTCTCTAGCTTGATGATAAAGGCAAATTAGGTATGTGTAAGTGTCCACTCATGGGACACAGAGCCCCAAAGGATCATCATGCCCATTTTACAGAAGAGACAGTTAAGACCAGAGGAGAGTGGCTGGTGAGATGAGTCAGAGTGTAGAGGTGTTTACCATGCAAATTTGGGGACCTGAATTTGATCCCTGGAGCCTGCATAAAGATGAAAGGAGAAAACCTATTTCACTGCATCCAAAAGTGTGCCATGTCATGTGTTTGCGCAATACATCATGCACACAAAGGGGAGAGAGAGAGAGAGAGAGAGAGAGAGAGAGAGAGAGAGAGAGAGAGAGAGAGGATGCAGCTGCAGGAGTGGGGAGTGAGCTCAGATGGGGGAAGTGATTTTCCCTGAGGTCAAGTTACTTGAAGGAAGGAAGCTCTGACTGTAACTTTGACACTCAGGCCTGGCCTCCTCGGCTCCTCCCTCTGTCTGCCCACATTGCATCCTAAGAGGAGTTTTGGACAGCCAGCACAGGAAACAGCTCTGACCTGGGAGCAACTCTGATTGTCACTCCCAGCTTGTCTCTGGCCCACTGTAGCCTGGTTCTCCTCAGCTGTAAGATAAATAGCCTTGTCCAGATCCACAGACCTCGCCCTGAGAGATGCTGGGCATGCGGTGTTTTCTGTGCAGCCTCACCTCACAGCTTCCCCATTAGTACAGCAGGATTTCTTCCCCCAGCCTGCACCCTGCCTTCTTCCTGGCAGGAAGCTGAAGCAGATCCCCAGTCAAGCCCAGAGCTCAACCCGAGTGCAGGAATCAGGCCTCCTGTGTGGTCCCCATCCCCAAGCTGCCCTAGAGAACATTTATGCCATTTCGTAACAGAGCATCAGTCAGCTGTCTGTGCCCCACAGCCAAGTTGTGAACTGCTTGAGGACAGGAGCACTGATGGAACTATGTTAGATGAAGACCATGTCCTCCGACCTGAGCAGACTGAAAAAAGGCTGCTTGAGGATCAGGTGAGCAGGGCAGACTGGAATACAGTGAAGTCCCAGGCCCACTAGCTGTAAACTGCAAGAGCCAAGAGCCCTTCACATTGACTGAGTGGCTTTGCCCACAGAGGACAGAGGAAGTAGAAGGGGGGAACTGAAAGTTAAGGGGATATAGAGCAAGAAAGCCAGACAGATGCTGTCTGAGGGCAAGTGGGTGCCAAGCCCTGGCATGTGCCCTGCAGAGGCCATGCTGACCATTACACTGGGGAAGCCTCTGAATGCCACAGCCTTCATGTGTGCCTACACTGTCTAGAAGCTGGGGGATGTATGCCCTTCATGAGGTAGCTAGCTAATTGGTTAGGGTCACACCTCCCCCCAACCAGCAAGCTATGTCACCCCAGCTCTTTCTGGTCAGATTTAAGCCTAACCTGACCATGGTTCTAGTACAGTTCAGTGTGGTCCCCATGCTTCCCCTGTCATCAAATCTGGCAAGGTAAGGTTGTCATCTCCTTTGATGGATGGGGCAACTGAGGCCTCAAGCACAGGAAAGTATAGGCAGCTGTTACAGAGCCTGGCTCAAGGCTACATCCTTCCCAGTGGCCCATACAACCAAAGGAAATAAAGGATGGGAAGGTATGAAGCAGGCACATGGGGGCAGTGGGAAGCAGGAGAGGAGTCATTAGCAGCAAATATATGCAGTGCCTGATCCAGGAGCATTGCTGTGTCTGAGATCTTTGCAGCAGTTTGTGCTTCCAAATTGCACCATCGCCTGTCTGATCTCTAGCCTTTGTCCATGTTGACCCATGTGCAGTAAATATTCCCTGAGCACCTACAATGCAGCCAGTGCAGTCTGAGAAGGGATGTGCACAGCAGCTGCAAGGAGAGGCAGCCTCGCCCTGCTATGAGCTTTCAGTCAGGACAGGCTGCGGCTGTAACCCCTATTCCCTAGTCAGTGGTTCATAGTGTTAATGTCCCAGTTCTACTGGGTGGCAGTGGTCTCTGCTCTAGCTAAAATCCCCCAAACACATGAGATTGCCATGTCGTATGTAACCATGATCCCAAATCTGAAACCTAAGAAGCTGATTCACAGTTCTGGAAATTAGGCCAGAAGTTGGTGTGTGCAATCCCAGCATCAGGAGCACAAGGCTAGCGTTGGCTTCCTAGTGAGTTTAAGGCTAGCCTTGGCTATAAGAGACATTGCCTTGAAATCAACAAATAGAGCAATGTAGGAGAAACTGTAGCCAGTCTACCCAAGCTGCAGTTGCCCAGGCCAGCCCGCATGAGCATGCAAGACAGGCACTTCCTCCCTGAGCCAAGCCTGTCTCTATGCCCAGAGACTGCTGACTAAGAAACACCTGACCAGAGACACCAATGAAGAAAGGGCAATGCAACAGAGTCAGACACCTGAGCCAATGGGACCTTGGGAAGGGGTATAAAGGCAGGTCTAACTTCCTTTAATAAACGAGTCTGTAGGATGCTCTGCTACTCACTGGCTACCAGTGCCTGAGTCATTGGTTCTGTGTACTTTCCCCCTCTCTCCCAAGGGGGGGTCTGACAGGGTCACCTGCAACAGAGCAAGACTGCTCAATAGGTAAAAGCACTTGCTGTGTGTCCTTGATGACCTGAGATCCATCCCCAGGACTCACAGTGAAGAGTGAACCAACTCTGAATGTTGACAACTCTGACCTTCACATGTGCACTGTTATGAGTGCACACATACATACACCACACACACATAAAAATGTAATAATTTTTAAAGTTTTTACTGTTGCCACAGTCGAGCTTCCAGGCCAAGCCAAGTTCCCAATGGCTGCCAGGGACAAATATTGCCCAGGACCTCTTTTGTACCTGAGTGGTCCTGCCAGATTTCTGAGCTCCAAGAAAACAAGGAGCCTATCACTGTATCTCCTGGACTTACCCAACCCCTCAGTGGACCCTGTGCCTAAGATATCAGGCTTGAACCTGAAGAACTCAGAGGACCCACTAGAAGGCCTGATACCTTTCAAAGAGCTCAGACCCTCTCTCTGTGTGGCCCTAGGAGATCCCTTTGCCCTCTCACAGTGAGACCTTGGACTCTGGGCTCAGACTGTTTCACAGGAGTTGGGAGAGGCTCAGAGCTTGCATGTTAGTCACTAGGCAAATAGTTTCCTTCAGCTCAGTGGCTTTATTCATGTGTCCAACCCCAGTGTCTGTGTGTGTGTGTGTGTGTGTGTGTGTGTGTGTGTGTGTGTGTGTGTGTGAAGGAAGGTCTGTCTCTTCCCTTCTCTGGACCTCTGTTTCCCTCTGTCATACAGGGAGGGAGGGCTTCCCTGCTTCCTTCATCAGGATTCAGTGAGGTCGAGGCAGCAATATGCATGTTTGGGCTTCTTGGGAATTCAGCACCCATGGTGAGGACAGTCCAGATTCAGTCCTGGCCTTTGAAGGCTCACTGTCTGTGAGGGAGATCCAAGTCTTGGCCTGTCACTAGCAGGCCAAGGTGGAGTTTGGTCCTGTGACCAGGCGATATTCAAGAAATTCTCAGCCATGTTTGGCTTCAATGAACTCTGTCCTACAAGTGGGTGGCTGGTCTGTCTGGGGACAAGAGTGTTGATGACACTCTCATTTCTGTGTAGGTTCTCTAGGACCTTCAAACATGTCAGTCCAGAAGGCAGAGAGCTAAGTGCCTTCTCCTTAGGCCTATGGAGGTCTTTGCTAAGAGTTAGCTGCTAGAACAGAGAAGGACAGCCACAAAGGGCCTTGAATGACCGAGTGACAGAGGCCTCCTTGGGTCACATGACAAAGGCCAGAGCAGTTCTGAGTACAGGAAAGTCATGAAGAAGCAGATGAGAGACACAGGAGTCCAGCCGGTGGAGTGAGGGACAATCACAGCCGCTCTAGCTGTTGGTGTTCAATGAGGTCTCTGGGGAGGCTGGTCGATTCAGGGTCACACTGGGGAAGCTGGCGACAAAGCTCTTCCACCTTCTCCTTACCTGCTGGAAGACCAAAATAAGGAAAATGACAACATAGTGGTGGGCTTCAGATGCTGTTCCACTCACAGCCACCAGGTGGGAGTAGATCCATGAAAGAGGCTAAGCTCCTGCGGGAGGGGGACTCTGTCTCCCGGGAGGCAGGTCCAGGAGGGGTGGGGAAATCTATTCTTCCCTCATAAGAAAGCAGACAGTAACTTGCCAGAAGTCGAATTGGCCAATCTCCTTGCCTTCTGCTCTAGTCACCCTTCCAACATAGTATTACATTAATCATCTTAAAACAGCTCCGAAAGGCTGGCATGGTGATACATGCCCATATTCCCAGCACTCAGGACACAGTAGGAACAAGAAAGAGTTCCAGGCCACTCCCATCTCAAACACACAGAGTTCTGCTGGGTAGTGGTGGTGCACGCCTTTAATCTCAGTACTCAGGAGGCAGAGGCAGGAGGATCTCTGTTCAAGGCTACCCTGGTCTACAAAGTGAGTTCTAGGGCAGTTACACAGAAAAACAGTTTTGAAAAACCAAATAACCAAACCAACCAAACAAACCCACACAAGTTCTGACCATATCCCACCCAGGCTCCGTTCCCTCTCTCCTCCAACCTTCATTGATTCCCCAGTGCTCACTGAAAAAAATCCCAGCTGCTTTCAGAGTGCAATCAATCCCTGGGCATTTTGCTTGGCTTTCCTCAGGGCAGCTGTACTCTTAACCCTTTGCTGCCCTGGCTCCCCACCATCTTCCATGGAACTGATAATTCAATTTGAAGCCGCACCTGTTGGTATTGCCTCAGCCATCGCTGGCGGCCTTCTCTCTGGCTTTGGATCAGCTGCTCTGTGTCTCCCAGGGTCCCTGGCAGTCGCTCCTGAGCAGAGACCTCCAGTCCTTCCATGCCATCAAGGCCCTGCGACCTGGACTTCTCACGGCCCTGTCTGAGGCTCAGTGCCCGGTGGAGTCGGCTCTCCTGGGACTCATGGAGCTTCCCATAGCAAGATCGGGGTTCTCGAAAGGACCGACTGCGGTGGCTGGTCCCCATGGTTCTGGAAGCTGTCAGTGCTCTGTAACTTTGCAAGGCGGCCTGGTGCCTCCACTTGTATGATGGAGGCAAAGGTCAGTGCAGCTGAGGTGGCTGTCATAAACCAAAGGGCAGGCCACAAACACCAAACATCTGAGTCATTTTCCTGTTGTCTCCTCACCCTGTGGGACTATGTAGCCCAGGATGCCCTTAACTCATAATCCTTCTGAGTGCTCAATTGGCTCCTGTTGTCTTTTCTCCTCGCTCTACAAGCAGCCTTCTCTAACTACTGTACCCTTGGGGACCTTAGCCCCTCTGAACTTGGCCTTGGCCGTCCCCATCACTCAACTCATTGACATTAAGCAAAGATGTTTCCACAGCAGAGAACAGAACAGCTTCAACCTAGAACTGTCAAATTCATAAATACCAGAGTGAAATTGGCTAAGGCAGCAGGCTGGAACAGTGGACAATGACTGTTTAATGGCTACAGACTTTCAGTTTTACAAGATGGAAGCCAGTGGCACACATAAAAAACCGTGACCCATAGGGGCATGACTCATTCATAAAGTGCTTGCTACACAAGATGTGAGTTTGCTCCCTGTACCCATGTGGAAAGGTGGACATGCAGCACACACTGTAATCTCAACACCAGGGAGAGACAGGAGTCTCCCTGGGGCCTTCTGGTCTCCTGGTTGAGTTGCTTTGATGAGCTACTGGTTCACTGAGAGACCCTGTCTCAAAAAATAAGGTGAAGGCTGTCGAAATGGTGTAGTGGGTAAAGGCATTTGTCACCAAGCCTGACAACCTGAGTTTGATCCTTGGGACTTATGTGGTGGAAGGAGAGAACTGACTCTCACAGGTTGTCCTGTCTTCACCACACATGTGCCGTGGCACTCACAGTCCAGCTCTCAGGAATACACAATAAACAAGCAAACAAATAAATGTAATTTGAAAATCTAAAAAGGTGAAGCTAGGCATGGTGGCTCAGGTCTTTAATCTCAGTGCTCAGGAGCCACAGTGAGGGGAAATCTCTTGAGTTTGAGGCCAGCCTGGTCTGCATAGCTAGCTCATCTCAAAACAAAACAAACAAACAAACAAAAATTCAGCCTGGTCTGCATAGCTAGCTCATCTCAAAACAAAACAAACAAACAAAAAAAATTAAAGGTAGAGAATGACAAAGACACCTGATGTCAACTTCTGCCCACCTCCACATAACTTCCCTCACACACATATGCTACACAGAAACACAAAGAAAAAAAATGATTCATAGTAATTATTTCACTACACCAGACTTTTGTTGTTTTGTTTTAGACAGGGTTTTATGTAGCCCAGACTGGTCTCAAACTTGCTATGTGTCAGTGGATGATCTTGAACTCCTGATGTCCCTGTTTCCACCTCCTGAGTTTTTGGATTACAAGCATGAGTCACCATGCTTTGTGTAGATAGTGTTGGGATGGAACACAGATCCTTGTACATGCTGGGCAAGAACTGTATCAACTGAGCTACATTCTCGGCCCAGAAGGAAAAAAAAAAAAAAGAAATGGAGAAAAGAAAGAAACAGGGCAGCTCCTGGAGGTGTCAGGAGGCCTGGATTTTTCCAGCCTTAGCTTTGCCCTCAATAGTCTAGCAAAGCACATGATTAAGAGCTCAGGCTCTGGGGAACACTGTCTTCTAGGTGAACCGCAGTTTTACTGCTTGAAGCTCTCCTCAGTCCCCTCAACTGTAACAGAGACAAAGAACCCAAGCCATTGTGTGGACTAACTGGGGTGCATAGGTCTGGAACACTGAAAATGCTCAATTAAAGTGAGTTGATGGCATTTCTTTTTTTTCTTTTTCCTTTTTGGTTTTTCAAGACAAGGTTTCTCTGTGGCTTTGGAGGCTGTCCTAAAACTCACTTTGTAGACCAGGCTGGTCTTGAACTCACAGAGATCTGGCTGCCTCAGCCTCCCGAGTGCTGGGATTAAAGGCGTGCACCACCACTGCCCAGCTGAATTGACAGCATTTCTTTTTAAAAATTCATTCATTATTTATTTGGTTTTTTTTTGGCTTCTCTGTGTAGCTCAGGCTGTTCTGGACCTCTCAGAGATCTGCCTGTCTTTACCTCCCAAAAGCTGATATTACATATAGACCAGGCTGCCTCAAACTCAAGATCTTCTTGCTGTAACCTCTCAACTACTGGGGTTATGGATATGCATCACCTCACTCACGTGTACACATGCGTGTGTGTGCACACTGTGCTTGAGTGTACAGAGGACACTGGACAACTTTGGGGTGCCAATTTCCTACTTCTACCATTCCAGACCTGGCAAATGAACTGAGGTTGCCAGGCTCCCCTGCAAGCATGCATGTTTACCCACTGAACCGTTGTCAACTCACAACTAAATTTTAAAAAAATTAAAAGTGAATCCCTGACCTTCAGCATCAGCCTATCCCACAAACCAGTTCTGAAGTGGACCCAGGTCTCTTTTTGTTGTTATTGTTCCTCATCATGTAGCCCTGGCTGGACTGGAACTCACAGAGATCTGCCTGCCTCTGTCTCTTGAATGCTGGGATTAAAGGCATATGCTGTCATGCCTGGCTACTGTCATGGTTTCCTGCAGCCCAGAATGGTCTCAGACTTGAATTCCTGGTCCTTCTGCTTGCACCCCTAAAGTGCGAGGATTACAGTTGTGCACCACACACCTCTTTAGTCCAGTGTACCTATGCCCCTAGAGTTAAACCTCTCACACCTCTTTTCAGGTTAAAAGACTTCAGAACCATCAACACCCTTAGCTCAGAACATGTAATCAACTCAGATCTCCAGTTTTTGGTCGGGGATGTGCTCAGGGGTAAAGTGCTTGCCTGGAGTGTGCCAGGCCGGGCTTCTATTCTCTACTCTGCAGAAACTTAGGGCTGTGGGACTAGGGTGTGAGCTGAACCCAGAAGGTACTGCTAAGGATGTGCTGACTCACCAGCTCCTGCATCAATATTTAGTCATTTTTTTTTTGAGACATGGTCTCACACAGCCTAGGTTAGAACTTAACTAAATAGCCAATGCAGATTTTGAACTCTTTTATTTTCTTATTTTGAGACAAGGTCTCTCTATGTGGCATTGGCTGGCCTGGAACTCACTATGTAGACCAAGCTGGCCTCAAATCTGGAGATCCACCTACCTTAGCCTCCGGAGTTCGGGCATTAAAGGAGTGCAACACCATTGCCGGCTCCTTACAATATTTTTCAGATTTATTTATTTTATGTACATGAGTTATTTTTCGGACAGTACGTATGTGTACCACATGTGTGCTGGTGCCTGCTGAGGCCAGAAGAGGCCGTCAGTCCCTTGCAACTGGAGTTATGGATGATTTGTGGACCACCATGTAGGTGTTAGTAAATGAACCAGGGGCCTCTGCAAGAGCAGCGACTGCTCTTAACTGCAGAGACATCTCTCCAGCCCCTCTTCTTCCCAGACCTAGATCTGAGTGATACCTCCCAAGAAGTCTGCTTGACTCCCTGGTGCAGCCCAACAATGCACACATCTACTTTAACCCTTCACTGAATATCTCCTGAAGGCTAGGAAACCATTATCTTTATCTTTGTGCTTTCAGGCCCAGACATACTGTTAAATACTGAAGGCTATTAGTTACCATTGCCACAAGACAAATTACCGGTGGAAGGAATGTAGGCCTTGAATGAGACCAAATGTCTCCTTTCTCCTCTTCCTATTTTTTTTTTTTTAATACAAAGTCTCACAGCTCTGGATTCCTGGAACTCACTATATAGACCAGGCTGGCCTTAAACGCACAAAGATCCACCTGCCTGTCTCCCCAGTTGGGACTGAATCCCTGCACTGCCAGGCTCTGCCCTCTATTGGTTTTACCCATTATCTTTCAGGCAGTTTTCACTGGTTCTGAAGCTAATCCCTCCCATGGATTTCATCTAAATCTCCAGAGAGCTTAAATGAAATTTAGTGGCTTAAAACAACATTAGTGGCTTAAGATGCACAAGCACACAGTTACTATCTTTGTTCCTGTGGGTGGGGGAACAGGGAGTGGCTTAGCCTGGTACAGGCCTCTCAAGGGCTCCCATCAAGGTCTACAGTCTCCCCCAGGTGGCCCAGGTGGAAGGCCTAAGTGCTGCAAGCTCACTCACTGGGAGCTGTTCACAGGATTCTGCTCTTGAGCATTTTTAGGCCAAAGGCCTCAGTTTTCTGTTGGTTGTTGCTGCTGATCCTCCTTAAAGAGCCACTTACAACAGAGTAGCTTGCTTTAATCAGAGCGAGTGAGTATGAGTGAACCTGGACCTCAGGGGCAAGACAGAAACCAGGCTCTGGGGTGTAACGTTGCAAGTGGCATTCATCGTTTTCTGCTGTATTCTGTTTCTTGGAAGCAAGTTGCCAGGCCTTGTCTGGGGCCAGTGGGGAGAGCTGCATGTGGAGGCTGTGGTGTGTAATTATTTTTAAAATTTTTATTAAAATTTTACATATATATACAATACATTTTGAGCATATTCTTTCTTCTTCCCCAACTCCTCCTAGAGCCCCCCACTTTATGTTCTTTTTCTTCCTTCTTAAAAAGAAAACAACCAAAAACAAGACAAGAAAAAAGAAAATCAAAACAGAAAAATAAAAATAAAAGAAAATCTGTAATAGAAAAAAAAAAAAACAAAACCACACAAAAACAAACAAACAAAAAACCCAAAACAAAACCCTATGGAGTCTGATTTTTAGGTCAACTACTCCTGGGCCTTGGCCTGCCCTGGAGTGCAGATGATAGATTCAGTGACTAGTTTTTTGTTTTTTTGTCAATTTAGCACAAGTTAGAATCATCTGGAAGAGGGAATCTCAACTACAAAACACTTCCATCAGACTGGCCTGTGGGCAAGTATGTAAGGGAATTGTCTTAAGAATTTACATAGAAGGGGTCCCTAGAGAGATAGCTCAGAGGTCAAGGGCACTGGCTGCTCTTCCAGAGGTCCTCAGTTCAATTCCCAGCAACCACATGGTGGCTCACAACCATCTGTTATGGGATCTGGTGCCCTCTTCTGGTGTGCAGATATACATGGAAGCAGAATGTTGTATACATAGCAAATAAATGAAACATTTTTTAAACATTTGTTTATTTTTAAGATTT